GTTCTCCAACTGGAAGCGCTCAATGTACTGATGCGGGGACCGAGGTGTTCGAGCTGCGCGAAAGGAAGAAGTCTCAGAGTCAAGGCCAGAGCAGCGTTGGAAGATTCGCGCCGGGATCACGGCGGTCGCGGGAGAGGGTCGGAGCAAACGCGGCGCCGTCCCGGGTCGAGTCGGAGGCGTCGGAACGACGTCGCGGCAAAGTAAGGATCGCAGCGGGGCAACGGTCTTGGGATGTCCAGACGAGAAGCTCCAAACCAAGATGTCGCTGCACATGTTGAAAAAATACATCGCCTCTCTTGCTCGCCGCCGGTCTCGCGGGGGGACAAGGCTTCGTCGTCGTCGTCGTTGTCGTCGTCGTCTTCGTCGTCGCCAAGAAGACAGGCATCCACGGCCACTGGAGCATCAAAACTGTTTTTGTTCAATGCCGCGAGGGACCTCTCGCTTCTCGTCCGCCCAGAAACGCGCATCCAGGGCCACCGGAGCGTCAATTGTTCCCAGTCCTCCGCGCTGGGTTCTCGTTTTGAACGGAGCACTGCGGTCCTCAACCCAACCCGTCCTCTCCTACTCGTCCTCCTCCTGTCTCCTTCTCCCCCTCATGCTTCCTGCCTTATTCCCAACCCTCCGTGTTGGATTTTCGTTTTGAATGCAGCACTGTGGTCGCCTTCCTCTCCTCTCCTCTCCTCTCCTCTCCTCTCCTCTCCTCTCCTCTCCTCTCCTCTCCTCTCCTCTCCTCTCCTCCCTCCGTCCTCCTTCTCCACCTCGTCCTCCTCCTGCTTCTCGCTTTCTGCTGTCCTCCTCGTCTTCTACCTCCGGGGTCCTTGGGGGGGGCTGCGAACTGCGGTACTGCCGCCACTTTCGTGGGCTCCTGGCAGGTCCAGCGGAGTGGGAGTGGCAAACGGACGGTCATGAGTCCTCGCGGGCCGCTCGGGGGGCTGCGAACTGCGCTAACATCGCCACTTTCGTGAGCTCCTGGGAGGTCCAATGGGATGGAAGTGTAAACGATTCGCGTTGAGACACCACGGCTTCCTGGGGGGTTACGGAATGCGCAACCGTCGCCACTATCGTGGGCTCTTGGAAGGCCAACGGAGTGGAGTTGTAAACAGACTGCGTTGAGACCTCGCGGGTCCATTGCGGGGTTGCGAACTGCGCAACCGTCGCCACTCCCGTGGATTCTTAGGTGGTCCAGCGGATTGGGGTTGCAAACAGATCGCGTTAACACTCCTGGGAGGTCCAGCGGAGTGGAGTGGTAAACTGATCGCGTTAAGACCTCGCGGGTCCTTAGGGGGACTGCGAACTGCACAGCTATTGCCAGTTCCGTGGGCTCCTGGGAGGCCCAGCGGAGTGGAAGTGGTAAACGGACCCCGTCGAGACCTCGCGGATCCTTCGGGGGTTGCGAACTGCGCGACCGTTGCCATTTTCGTGGGCTCCTGGGAGGTCCAGCGGGGTGGAGTTCTATATAGACAGATCGCGTTGAGACCTCGCGGGTACTCAGGGGAGCCACTTTCATGCGCTCCTAGGAAGTCCAGCGGAGTGGAGTTGTAAACAGATCGCGTTGAGATCTTGCGTGTCCTTAGGGGGGCTGCGAGCTGCACAATTGTTGCCACTTCCGTGGGCTCCTGGGAGGCCCAGCGGAGTGGAAGTGGTAAACGGACCCCGTCGGGACCTCGCGGGCCCCTGGGGGGTGCGACCTGCGCAACCCTTACCATGTTCGTGCGCTCCTTGGAGGTCCAGTCCAGCGGAGTGAAGTGGTAAACGGACCGCCCTGAGACCTCGCGGATCCTTGGGGGGCTGCGAATTGCGCAACCGTCATTACGTTCGGGGGCTCTTGGGAAATCCAGCGGGGTGAAGATGTAAAACAGACCGTGTTGAGACCTCGCGGGTCCGTGGGGGGCTGCGAACTGCGCAACCCTCGCCACTTTCATGCGTTCCTGGGGGGTCCAGCGGGGGGGGGGCTGTCCCGCGGACCCCGTCGAGACCTCAAGGGTCCACTGGGGGGGGCTGCGAAGTGCGCCCTTGTCTCCCTGAAGGCCCAGCGGAGGGGGCTGTCCCGCGGACCCCGTCCAGACCTCGCGGCCCTTTTTGAGGGGGGCTGCACATTGTGCAGCGGTCGCCACTTTCGTGGGCTCCCGTGAGGCCCAGCGGAGTGGGGTGTCGCGCGGACGCTGCCGAGCCCCTCGTAGGGTCGTCTTGGGCCGTCTTGGGCGCCTCTTGGGCCTTCCTTGGGCCTTCTGGAGCCATCTTGGGTTGGGGCTCTCCTGGGGCGATCTTGGAGACCTCTGGGGCCGCCTTGGACGCTTCGAAGAGCAAAACAACGAATTTGGTGAACATCTTAGTTTTCCGTTGCGCGTACTCGTTCAGGCCACTGCGTTGTGGTTTCGCCCGTTTATGGGCCAACCCTTGTGGTTTGACCAGGCCTCTGTCTGTCTGTTTGTTTCAGTTTTCCGGAGGGAAGGTGACAACTTTTGATCGAGCACCTCCTTTTGGGGGTTCCCTTGGAGCTTTCTGGGGGCGTCTCGAAGGCATTCCGGACCCCGAGGATGATTTTTGGAACCGTCTGTGGCCGTTCGGGGGGCTTCTTGGGGGCCGAAAGCGGTTGGGGGGGTCCCTGTGGGGCCGCTGTGGGGCTGCTGTGGGGCCGCTGCAGGGCCGTTGTGGGGCCGCTTTGATTCTTGTTGTAGCCGTGGTTGGCTGTTTGGGGGCCCTCTTAGAGCCGCTGTGGCGCCCAGGAGGCTGGAGGACCCCCAACCCACAAAGCGCAGTTCGGATACATTTGGATAGATGTGTGTATAGATGTATATGTGTATATGTGTATATGTGTATACATAGAGGTATAAACAGATATAATCCCATTCATGTATTTTTATTCCCCGGACCCCCCTTCCCCGAAATCGGATCCCCCGAATCCCTGGCTCCAGGGACCTTCGGGACCCCGCGGATCCGTGGCCTTGGGGACCCCCTGGACGCCCCTACAGGGGGCCCCCCAGGCGTTTCAGAGCTCCTGGAAGCCATTGCTGGGCCTAGGCAACGGGCCCAAATCGGTCAGGAGGGCGGCCGAACGCCCCCCCGAGGGCCCCAAGAGGCCCCAGACACCCACCAGACGCCCGAAGACGACCCAAAGAAGACCACCAAGAGGTTTTCAAAACGCAGACAAACATTGATTTTCCCCAGTTGTTGCATGATTTGGGGAATGCCCTGTTCTTATCTGTTCTTCGGTCGTTTGGGCGTCCGAGACCACCTGGGAGGCTCGAAAATCGCGCCAAAACCATCCGAAAGGGCTTGCAGGCAGTCCAAGAGAGCCCCAAGACAGCACAACAGCGGTGGCGACGACGCCACAAGACGATAACATGATTATAACGGCGACGGTGCATTGGCGATTCGCGCTATGCACCTTGGTCCTTGAAGTTTCGCATGCAAGCCGAATGGCAGGAAGGTCGAACAGACAATTTAGCGATAATTCCTTGATGCCTTTTCCGGCACCGCCATGAAAATAATGTGATTCGTTATTTTTCCGGGGAGGCCTCCTGGGCGCTTTCTGTGGGCCTCTGGGGGCTTCCTCGGGCCACCCTGCCTCCAACCGCGGCTCCCAGAACACCGGGGTCACGATTTGGAATGCTTCAGAGGGCGTCTTGGGGCCATCTTGGGCCGTCATGGGGCTCTCTTAGGCCATCTTGGAGCCCTGTTGCGCCGTCTTGGGGCTCTCTTGGACTGCCTGGAAACCCTTTCGGATGGTTTTGGGGAGATTTTCGGGCCTCCCAGGCGGTCTCGAACGCCCAAAAGACTGAAGAACAGGGCATTCCCAAAATCATGCAACAGCCGAGGAAAATCAATGTTTGTCTGCGTTTTGAAAACCTCTTAGTGGTCTTCTTTGGGTCGTCTTCAGGCGTCTGGTGGGTGTCTGAGGCCTCTTGGGGCCCTCGGGGGGGCGTTCGGCAGCCCTCCTGACCGATTTGGGCCCGTTGCCTAGGCCCAGCAAGGGCTTCCAGGAGCTCTGAACCGCCTGGGGGGCCTCCTGCAGGGGCATCCAGGGGGCCCCCGGGGCCACGGGTCCGGGGGACTCCGTTTCAGGGGGGGGGGTCGGTTTCCCCACCCTTCCAGATTATAAAAATGAATTGGAATCTGTAGGAAGTTGCAAATTTCGGCCTCCCAGGAACCCGGAGTGCTTCATGACAGTGTCGGATTGCCCCGTAGCAGTCTTTGGGGTTTTGCCGGCTTCGCGCAATCTTGAGGCCTCGTTGGGCCATAGTGGAGGGGATGTTCGACGACCTCGGACCATCTTGGGCTGTGAGGGCGATCATGGAACCACATTGGGCCATGCTGCGGAGGCCGGAACAACCTGAAGAGGGACTGCCGGCGTGGTGGTTCCCCTGCAGATCTGATAGGGGGTGGTGTGGCTGTGACTCCTATATGCCAGAGGGGAGGTGCCTGCGCACGGGGTGAGGTCGGGGTGAGGTCTCGACGCCGGCGCCGGTCGCTGAAGCGAGGAAGCTGGGAGAGCGAGCGGGTGCGGCCCGGACACTCGGCCCGGGGCCTGGCCGAGGCCAGCGCGTGCCTCGGCCGCCGGCCCTCAGGAGGGGAAAAAACACACAGACACAATTAATCGTCGATTCCCCAGAAAATTGGGAAAATATGGGAAGTGGGGGGGATGTTTTTATTTTTGTGTATTTATTTGGGTGTTCCAGGGCCCCTTCAGACCCCAGCATCCCCAGGTCTGCGGAGGTCGGCCGACGTGTCCGTCGGCGCTCCAGGGAGCGGTTGTCGTGTCCACGTGCATATGCCACGTCTGGGCGCGCGCGCGGCTTGCCGCCCCGTGCGCCTGACCCCGCGACAGGTGTCTTCCGCCCGCGGCGACCGAGAAGTGTGTGTGTGTGTGTGTGTTTGTGTGTGTGTGTGTATGCGTTTGTGTGTATATGCGTTTGTGTGGTTGTGTGTTGTGTGTGTGAGCATGTGTGTGTATGCGTTTGTGTGGTTGTGTGCGTTGTGTGAGTTGTGTGTGAGACTCT